AAAGAAAGAAAGAAAGAAAGAAAGAAAGAAAGAAAGAAAGAAAGAAAGAAAGAAAGAAAGAAGGAAAGAAAGAAGGAAAGAAAGAAAGCAACATCTAGTTGGGCAGTGGTGGTGCATGCCTTTAATACCAGCACTTGGGAGGCAGAGGCAGGTGGATTTCTGTGAGTTTGAGTCCAGCCTGGTCTACAGAACGAGTTCCAGGACAGGTTCCAAAGCTACAGAGAAACCCTGTCTCAAAGAAAGAAAGAAAGAAAGAAAGAAAGCAACATCTAGTTGGGCAGTGGTGGTGCATGCCTTTAATACCAGCACTTGGGAGGCAGAAGCAGGTAGATCTCTGTGAGTTTGAGGCCAGCCTGGTCTACAAAGTGAGTTCCAGGACAACCAGGACTGTTACACAGAGAAACTGTCTCGAAAAACAAACAAGCAAACAAAAACAAAAACAAAACATTTATCTGGGCAGAAGTGGTAGAGGTAGGTAGATCTGTGAGTTTAAGGCCAGCATGGTCTAAACAGTAAGTTCCAGGACAACCAGGGCTACACAGAGAAACCCTGTCTCAAAAAAACCAAGCCAAACCAAAACCAACATCATTATCACAGTAAGATCCATTACGATTTTGTTTTGCTTTTTGAAGACAGGGTTCTCTTTGTAGCCCTGGCTGTCCTGAAACTAGCTCTGCAGTTCAGGCCTTGAACTCACAGAGATCCTCCTGCCACTGCTCCCTGACTGCTGGGATTAAAGGTGCGCACCCCCACTGTCCAAGCCTCATCCCACTTTTAAAGACAAAGAAACTAAAGCTCAGAGTAGTTAATATTCCTGACATTGCTCGATCACTAAGTGACAGACACCCAACTCTTTTTGCCTTTCCACATTGCCTCCTCCAGTCTTTAGGGAGGCCTTGTCTTTCCGCCTCTTCCTTCCTAATCTTAACCTTGTCTGTTTTCCCCAGCGTCTGCACACAGCTCTCTCATCAAGACTAAACTGTCACCTAGCATAATCTCATCAAATCTGGGCCTGACGGTGGCTCTCAACCCCCAGGCTTGTTTCCCCACAAGTACACTCAAGCTTGTCAAATATGTGGCCTGATATTTGGTGTGGAAAATGTGGTCGGCATCAGTGAACCGTGCTCTGTTGTGAAGGCGCTTCCTATCCCGTTGTGGCGGGCGCTCTCGCTATCTGGTGTTTCCCCTGTTTGTGTTGAGCCAGCTTATGTTGTTAGGGTCTGTCACTAGCAAATCTCTTGCATTAGTCCCCACTGAATTTCATTCTGGTTTCACAGGACCTCCCTCTGACCCATCCGACTGGAAGTTTCTCCTATCTCTTGTGGGTTTGGCCTCCTCCCAGCCTTCTCTCATCTCCGAGTCACATCGGAATTAGAGAAACTGTTGCTACCCTCCCCAAAGGTCCCAGCTGGTGCCCTGTCCTCACTTCTCTGGAAATCCCACTTATGCCTCCTGGGAGATGACGGGGGTGAGGGAAGAGAGGCAGACTCTATTCCCCAACTTTGGGGTTATTGGCAAGCCTGGCTGTACCTTGGGGTGTCCCCTACACAATGGCTTAGGCTGGAAGCTCTCCTAGGCCAGCCCCAGAGCCAATCTGGTCCCAGGAGGGTGTCAGAGGACCATGGACCTCTTCTTCAATCAGAGGCATCTCTCTGGTCCTAGCCGACCCTTTGGCAGACTGTCCTTTGGCTAAGTCCTAGCCCTTTGGGATATCCCATTGTTTGAATACTAAGGAATCCCAAGCCGGTTGCTAGGCACGGCTCTCAAACAATGTAGTGTGACAGTTCCCCAGTCGGCCCCAGGGCCTCCCCAAGCCACAAGGGTGTGGTTTGTAGTCTGGGTACATTCTGTACCCTAGTCCGGGGGCGGGTTTGTGGTTGGGTTGCTGGTGCTGTGCAGTGCAGCCCCGCCCATGCTTTTCCTCGCCAGCCACAAAAACAAGCTTAGACACTGAGCTGGGAGGAATTGAAACAGAACGCGTTACTGTACAGCTGGTACCTGAGGCTCCAAGGTGGAGCCACACCTTCCCCTCCCCTCCCCCGAGGTGTGCCATGAGTCAAAGGTCAAGTGTGCCAAAAGCTCCCCAGTGCTGGCTCTTTCTCTGCTTTCCCTTGCCTTCTTGCATGGCTACCTGAAGCCACAGGATTTGGCTCAAGGGTGAGGGTGTCTGGCTGTCATTCCCCCCCCCCACACAAGTTCCGAAATATGGCTTTCCTTTTTGTTCCAGTATTCACTGTCTCCTCTGCTAGTTTTTCTTGCCTTAGTGCTTCCATAGTTACTGCCTCATCAGGCCCAACTAGTACCTAACTGAGGACCCAGAGGGTACTGGGTTCTTGGAGCTTTTAGTCATCACAACTTTATCACTTTATGGGAGGGGGCATTTCTATCTGACACATTTCATACTCCCACGTGCAGGCACTGAGGTTGGCACTTTATATATCTTTTTAAAACCGCACAACTCTTAGATAAAAAAGATTTATTCATTGTATGTGTGTGAGTGTTTTACCTACATGAATGTATGTATACCATGTGTGTGCCTTGTACCCACGGAAAACAGAAGAGGGTCCCATGGATCCAGGGGTCCTTGAATCCCCTAGAACTGGAGTTACATTTGATGGGTTGTAAACTGCCTTGTAGGTGCTGGGATTGAACCGGGATCCTCTGAAAGAGCAGCAAATGCTCTTAACTGCTGAGCCATCTGCCCAGCCCTTAGATGCTTTTTGGAGACAGGGTCTTACATAGCCTGGGCTAGCCGCATACTCCCTATGTAGTTAAGAATAACCCTGCCTGATTCTCCCCCCAAGTCCTGGGATTGCAAGCATGCACACACACACACACACACACACACACACATCCCCAGCCCAGTCTTTGTGGTAGGACTGAATGCAGAACTTGGACGCTAGGCAGACTGGCCTTGAACTCACTATGTAGCTCAAGATGACTTTGAAATTCTGATCCTCCTGCTTCTACCTACCGAGTGCTGGGATTCCTTCTGTGCACCACCACATTCAACTTAGGCTATACGGGGGCTGAAGCCAGCACTTTGTACACACTAAGGAAACGACCAACTGGGTTACATCCACAAACCCTGGTTTTAGATTCGTGAGGCAGTATTTTGCTGTGTGGCCTCAGTTAGCCTCGAACTCCTGGCAACTCTCATATCTTGTCTTCTAAGTATTGTGACTATGAGCTGGG